TGGTATCATGACTGTAGCATTCCAGTGAAAGACCTTATACCTGACTGGTACCATTGCTTTTAGTAAATCTTTGTACCTAGATCTTGGTTTTCTTATCTATGAATCTGGGGTTAATGGAAGCGGTAAGGTGAGGTGAGGTAATGGTGATGTATGGCATTGGAAGGAGTTTCCCCTGAGAACCATGGTTTTGGTGTGTAGCTTTCAGATGACAGGAAACGGACACTTCCCAAAACACAGCAGTGTTCCTAGAAGTCCAGAGCGCCTGTGTGTGTGAGGAGTGTGTTGAAAGTCTGAAAAGTCTGAAACTCAGCCAGGTGCATCCCCATGGCTTCCTGTTGTGGATCCCCAGATTCCATCTTTCTCAGGGGAATGCTGGCAGGTTCAGAAAGTCGGGGAGACGGGTCCTAAGAAACCTGGGCAAATGTTTGCAGGGTACCTAATTAGAGGACTTTTCTATATCCTTCCCCCTTGCTGTTCTTTCAGGGGGGCATGTGGTATGGGGTGGACGTCAACAATGAGGACATTGCTGACAACTTTGAAGCCTTCGTCTGGGAACCAGCTATGGTGCGGATCAATGCCCTGACTGCTGCTTCTGAGGCTGCGTGCCTTATCGTGTCGGTCGATGAAACCATCAAGAACCCGCGCTCGACAGTGGATGCTCCCCCAGTTGCTGGCCGGGGCCGAGGTCGTGGCCGCCCCCATTGAGGGGCACTCCACTCCTCCCAAGTGGCTGGCAGGCTGGCTCCAGGGTGTGCTTTTTCTTTTGGTTACGTGTTACAAGGAAAAGGGTGTGATTGGCCCACTGCATTCTCACCGGAGATTATTTAAATAAATCTTAGACTTAGAAATCACTTTGCAAATATTTTGGTCATTTAGCATTATTTATAAATGTATTGAGTGCTGCTCAGAATTTTTGTTTTTACACTGACTTGTCCTATAGGTAGAAGAGTGAAAATTATCTTCCCTCCTGTTAGTCCTTAGCAGCCTTTGGTAGATCGGTTGTCAAAGCAGAAGGACGCCTGACTCTACCAATGGGGAGCAGCACCAGCTGCCTTGCCCTGTCCAGAAATTTCTTTCTCTTTAGGTGTCTAGTCCCAGAAGTTTCTTCAGATGCAGGAGTGCTTTGTTTTCTTCTGAGATCATGTGGACTGACTGAGCCAGACACTGCTCCCAGGGTTTGTTTCTGGCTTTGAGTAAATGTATTGGATTACCTTATGTGCCCCTTCTAAGGCCACGTTCTTTGGGATGAATCTTTTGGTTTCTCTGACTCAAGGTCTTTTCCTTCCTCAAGCAGTTGAGGTAACAAGTCCTATTTTGGTGACTAGTGGAACTTTGGAATGACCAGTACAGATATCTCTAAAGTCTGAGCACCCCTGATTAGATCAACTAGAAGCAGAATGGGTGATGAGCAGGATTGGATGTGGCATCCCTCCTGACTTGAAACTGTAGGAGTGAGCAGTGGCACAGTGGCCAGGATGCCTGCAATGCTGCCAGTGCTGAGGTTGAGTCTTGTCACGTTTTCATCCATCATTCTGCCCTGTTTCAGAGTTCAGCTGCAAAGAGTTCTCACAACCACTTGCCATTAGCCTTCCCAAAGCAAATAGTCCAGTTCACCATCTTTTATTAGATACAAAGCCATAAATTCTTTGATGCCCATGTGAGTCCTTTTAAATACATACACTCAGGTACATTCGGCAAAGGGCATCTACAGATGACGTGAAGCAAAGTGCTGGGATGGTGATGCCTGGGTGGGGGAAGAAGTGGGGCCGGGGAAGGCCCCCTGGGGGCTGGAGGTACAGGCACCACTTCAGAAACAAAACCAAAAAATGCTCTCCACCCCTCGGCCTGATGTGCTTGGGGTGAGGGAAGCTGCCCCTCAAAGCCAGGCCTGCTGCAGGGAAGGTAGGGCCAGGGGCCAGTGGCAGTCCCTACCAGCACTGCTCAGTAGATGGTCAGTGGGTGCCAGCGTCTGTCTCCTTGGGTCTTGGCACCCGATTGCAAGAGCCCTAGCCACACTTCCCTGGGGCCCTGCGGGCTGTGGCAGGGGAGCCTGCCTGATTGTCGGGGTGGTCTTGGGACTGACCAGTATCCCAAGGGTTTGGGAAGGAACAGGAGCTGGTTGCCTTAGTTGGCCCTGATAGTCTCATCTTGACCCAATCCTAAACCTTATCCTCAAGCAAAGGACTGCAGATGAACACACTTGTCCAGGAATAAATACATACGCACAATACTCAACTATATATACAGAGATGCAGGCCCAGGACAAGGCTGGATAAGAACACAGCTACCAGGGGTGAAGGGAGACAGACCCGGGGTTGGGTAGGAGTTACACTCATCCGGGCTGGCCTGGCCCAAATCCCGCCAGCTTCATTAGCTCCTCTGGGCTTAGGTAGGCCCCACACCCACTCAGGTTCTTATCCCAAATCCATCAGGAGCTGGGTCTTTGGCACCAATAGTCACTCAGTTAAGGTTTTCAACTCAGCGCCTTACAGGGGCTTAGGTCTGGGACACTGACCTCCACTCCCTCAGTGGCCCAAAAACTAGACACCAGGACCAGAGGACCAGTAGAGGACAGAGCTAAACCATGGAGCAGCAGGCCACGGGAGGAGGCAGGGCTCCCCCAACTCCACCTCCCTTTCTAAGTAGTTCTGAGGAATGGGCTTAAAATCCACTGTCAAAGCCCTAGAAAAATGAGCTTCTGTGGCCCTTCTTTAGCCAGGGAAACGCCCTGGCTCTAAGCAGCCCACTCTCCCTGCAGGAATCTAGATGGTTCACAACATTCCCTTTGTTTCCTGCCAGTGCTGCAAGGCACACAGCAAACAGTCCTCTGGCTAGTGTTTGCAACCTGCCATGTGCCGGGTCAGGCTAGATGGCAGGAGAGGCGGAGTATCCCCAACCCCCGCAGGCCAGCCTGCCTTTGCTCTCCTGCACTGCATTTTGTTCCAAGAGCCCTCCTTGGGATGAGTGGTGCTTCCCGGGAGAGCAGGGCACTCCATCTCTGTTCACCAGCCTCAGCTCTAGCTGTATGGTTGCCAAAGGGAACAAATGGTACATTCTAGCAAACAAAAGCTCCCCACTCAGCATCAGGGCTCATTCCTGAAGATGCAAAGGGATGGGGGCAGGGGCTTTGCAAACTGGTCAGTTCTCGAGGCATGCATGAAGGCCAAAGCATGAGGGTCAGGTCTGCAAGATACACTCCTACATACCTTCCTACTCGGCTGAAAAGTGCAGGGCTGGGGATGGGAGGAGCTCCTGGAAATAGCCAAACCCACAGAGGGAGGGCAAATGAGGCAGCAGGGCAGCCTCTGCCCTCAGTGCCTGCTGGGATCCGCCCTCAGCACCGTTCCCTGCTCAAGCTCACGGCCTGTCTACACAGACCTCCTTCCCAGGGATTTCCCAAGGTGAAACTGCCCCAAGCCCCTGTACTTAGGATCCCAGGTTTCCTGGGACAGAAAAAAAAAAAAATCCCTCAATGGGCAGGTTCAGGCCAGGCAGGCATTCCTTTGTGCTTTGTCCAGGAGACAGGGAGGGCAGCACCTCTGGTCTTGGGGTCATAGGGCACAGGGGCTCTGGAGGGTGGAGAGAGAGGGCAAGGCAGACACTCGCCCTGAGCTGCCCGCTCCTGTGACTGGCCCTCCACCTCTCCTTGGGGTCCCCGGACATAGCAAAGTTGTGCTTCTTCCTATGGCTCCTTGGGACCAGGCTGGGGAGCGGGAGCTGATGGAGGTGCAGTCAGCTGCTCTGGGGAAAGGCTTCGTGCAGGACTAATATGGGCGTTGCCAACATGGTGCCCTTGGTATTTGGGGTTTTCGACAGGCAGGACCAGAGTAAGACCAGGAGAGAAAGTCATCAACAAACAGTGAAAAGCCAGGACCTCCCTCGGTATGGACGCGGGTCGCTGGGTTCACAGCTGAGCCCGTGGACTCCTGGCTCTGCCAGGCTTGGTAACTCTGGGCTGGGTCCTGGTGTCCAAGCCAGGTGGTGGCAGAAAACTGGGTCCCTGGAAAGGACTGAGAACTGGAAAACCCAGCCAGGACCAGCGGCCACCGAAGGGACTGGGCTGAGAGCAGATTCTGGAACTAGATCCAAACAGAATCTGAAAGCGCTTCCCCAGGAAAGATGGGCAGAACCCACAGTCTGCGACACTGTGGACGTTCTGAGAACAAGGGACACCTGAGTCTTTGGAGCCTTAATGCCAGGCTGGTCCTTTGGGCAAGAGTCAGTGAAAATGCCCACTGGGAACTCTGCCTTGGGCCCCGGCCCAGCCTTCAGCCTCATTCATGGAGCTGGGGACACCGCAGGGCAGGTCAAGCGGGGGACTCTTCAAGCAAACCAGTCTCACACAGGAAACAGGGCAGTGCGGTTACTCCCTCCACAGCCTTGGGGACCCAGGCCACACGTATGTCCCGGCACCTGGGCAAAACTGCTCTTCGCTGCCTCCTAGGGGCCTGGGACTGGAGGGAAACCAGAAGCATGCACCTGGTTGCTCGAAGTTTAGCTCTGGCTGCTGGGGCGTATGTGGTGGCCGAGAGGAGGGGTGTCTGCGTCCCTATAGCAGTAAAAATTGCGCAACCATGACAATTTTCCCCCTTGGAAAGGGCAGTCTCGGTATCTTGGGGAGAAGTTCTAGGTGAATGTTGTTGCCCTTCTAAGCCCACTCCCACCATCTTGCTGATCTCTTGCCCTCCACTTTCAACTGACCACATGCCTGGACACCATAGGCTTGTTCGTTTCAACCCTGGAAATGTGGACCCAGAGCCCGGGAGAACTGAATCAAGGGGGTGCCCCTCACAGAGGGCTGAGACAGGGCAGGGGGGGACAAAGCCCTAAACCAAGTCTAGCTACCTTGTGAAGGCCCCTAGCTGGAACCCAGCAATGCCCCTCCCCCGCCCCCACCCCCCACAGTGGGAGCCTTGGCCTGAGCAGCTGAGGAGACGGTCAGGCAGGCGGTGACACCAGGTGCTGGTGGTGACGTAGCTCCTCGCTGGCTGTGCCGGAAGCTGTCCCACGGGGGCAGGATCAGAAGGGTCCCTGGCCTGGAGCAGCAGTGCCCACGGGAGGTCCATGCTCCACATTGCAGGAGCTAGCCAGGGACTGTCCGCCCTTTGCTGGCAGCCAGGGATGACTCTAGTTCAAATCAGGGTCCCTCTGAAGGTCCAAAGAGAAGGCGGGGTCTGGGGCTGGCAGGGGTCCTGCCGCCCCTGCCCCGGGTTAGCAGCCACCTTCCACCTTGACGTGCAGGATCTTCGAGAAGCCGGGCCTCCGTCGCAGGGCCTGCAGGCCAGACCTGGGGTTACTTACCCGTTGGATCGGACAGGATGTGGGATCTGAGAACCCTCCCCCCCTCACATCTAGGTGGTCTCATCCCACATCCAGGCCACAGCCCCACAGAGATACTAGCTCGGGTGGCCCAGAACCAACTTCCTCACCTGGAGTTTTGTCACCATGTCCTCAAACAGCTTCTGAGCCTCAGGGCTGCTGGGCTCTTTAAAATAATCGGCGATCCCAATCTGGACCACAATGGACTTGAGGTTCCGGCAAATGCCTGAGAGGAAAGGGATGATGGGGGCCACATGATGGCCTGGGCAACAGAGCTGCCTCGGCTCCTATCATTAGGTCATGAAACTGAATCCTACCAAGGGGCCACCTGGTTGTCCACTGGGGGTGAAGAGAGACCCATGCCTCTTGGGGACTGCACCCAGACAAAGGGAAGGGGGCAGGATGGAGTCAGGCAGCAGAAGCTGCTGTGACTCTGGAGGGGTGGCAACATCAAGGACTCTCGAATCTTCCCTGGCAGAGGTCAATGAGCTGGGGCCGAGGCGCTGGGAAGCCATGAGAGAGTGGGGAAGGTGAGGTGGGTGGGTCTTGACTGAAGTACAGAGGAAGGGAAACTGAGCAAACCAGTCGGGAGTGGAGAGCTTAGGAGTTGGCGGATGCCCTGAAGTGAGGGGAGGAGAGCCAGGCTAGGAGGTTGAGGGCCAGGGCTGGGAGGTCAACAGTTCGTGGGCTGAGTAAGTACTTGGCTCCCTGGGCTGGGGCCATGAGGCTTAAGTGGAAGGAAGAAGAGGATCAATCAGGGAGTTATGTCACAGGGTCAGGGAACCTCTGACACTCAAATCACGGAACCCCGGGCCAAATGGTCCTGGTGAGCTCATTTGGGCAGGAGTAGCCGAGCTAGGCACCCATGTCCTCGGCAGAGGTGGACGGATGGCTGGGGGTATGGGTGGAGGAAAGGGAGAGGCACGACTGGCATCATAGGAGCCGCTGGCTGAGGCTGGGGGGAAGGACCATCAGGGAGGTTTCTGGCTGTGTGTTCCCCCAAATCTGCTCCTCCTCTGGAGGCTCATCTCAGGAAGGGCCAAGCACCCACCCTGCTGTTCAAGTTAGTTGTTTTGTTTTGCTTTTTGGGTCACACCCGGTGATGCACAGGGGTTACTCCTGGCTCATGCACTCAGGAATTACTCCTGGCGATGCTCAGGGGACCATATGGGATGCTGGGAATCGAACCCGGGTCGGCCGTGTGCAAGGCAAATGCCCTTCCCACTGTGCTATTGCTCCAGCCCCACTGCTCAAGTTAGGAACTAATTATAGTGCCCTGAACAACGCTGAAACCCACTGTCACTGTCACTGTCCTCCCGTTGTTCATTGGTTTGCTTGAGCAAGCCCAGTAATGTCTCCATTTTGAGACTTGTTGTTACTGTGTTTGGCATATCTAATACGCCACGGGGAGCTTGCCAGGCTTTGCTGTGTGGGCGAGATACTCTCAGTAGCTTGCCGGGCTCTCCGAGAGGGGCAGAGAAATCGAACTTGGGCTGGTGATGTTGGCCGCTTGCAAGGCAAACGCCCTACCCGCTGTGCTAACGCTCCAGCCCAATGCTGAAACCCACCGCCACTATTGATCAGATTATTATACCAGTCACCTGGAGAATGGCCTCGTGACTTTACACGTGACCTTAATCCTCCCACCTGCTCTAGAAGGCCAGCTCAGTCAGAGAAACAGTTACGAGGCACCCTGGGCAGGGTCAAGGCCAGCTCAGTCCTGCCCCTGAGCCTGTGCACTCTGAACCATCAGTTCTGCCTCTGCCCCGGCCAGGCGTTCTCTGGAAGAGGGAGGAGACGATGGAGAAGAGGAGTTGGGGGACAGATGTTGTTCCCCCACTCATATTTGTGGGTCTGATGTGTGCAGACCCGGGCCACAGTAATTGCAGATGGTACTGGCGGAAAGCCAGGGCGAGACCCCAGGACTGGTTCTAACTGATGGTGCTTCTTGCTGCCAACCCAGTCAGAGGTGACGGTTGGACCCTACCCAGCACCCATCCCTCCCACAGCCATCGCTCACTGTTGAAATGCAGCAGGGCCTTGGGGGTGACGGGGGTGGCTGTGAGCACGAGCATCTCCAGCCCCTTCAGGCCTTCGCGGCAGACCTCAGCTGCCACCTCCTGGGTGATCTCCGACACGTGGTCCAGCTCCAGGACCTGCAGCCGCATGCAGTTTCTCGCTGGGAAGAGGAAGGGAGAGGAGGCAGATGGTGACTCTTGCCTGGCAGGGTGCGCCCACCTACCCCCTTCCCAGCTGCCCAGCCAGCCCCCAGGATTCTACACTGCACGGCAGCACCCCATGTGCTCCCCACGACCCCCTACCCCCATCCCAAGGTAGCACTCACCAAGCGATGCCAGGCCTTGCACCCCGCAGCCAGCACCCCCAACCCCCAGGGCCCGGAGGTGAGGCCAACAGCGACCAATCATCTGCAGACAACGGTTACTGAAGCGCGTGGGCTGCTGGCTGGAGAAGGGGTGAACAGCCATCAGGGAGGTTTCCAGCTGTGCAGTACCCCAAATCTCCTTTGGGCTCATCTCAGGGAAGGGCTGACCAACCACCCAGGAACTCCTGACTCTGTTGTCTGAACAACTCTGAAACCCACCGTCAGCATTTATCAGAGGAGAGATAACTAGCCTCCCCGCCAATCATCCCCCAAGTGGCTGATGGTCCCCTCTCGTTCCCTTACTCACTCACTAAACAAACAGTTCTCTAGCGACCAGCAAGCCAAAACAAGAGAGCTAGAGTGTGGGGACGCATGGGTGACACAATGGGACATGGTCCCTGCACCGCAGGAGCGACCAGTCTGGGTTGGAGGTGGCAGGGCAGAGAACAAGTCTGAGCCTACTCCCACTTTTCAGACCTAAAACTCCTCAATGTTTGCACGTTTTATAGATAATATACAAAGAATTAGACCCTTGCAGCATGTTTTTCTGTTCCTGCCGCATCTTCCTTTCCACTTAGCTTTGGCTCACTCTTTCCCATCACTCGTACCATACTTGCTGATCCCTGAGACAGTCGCCCCTCCACGCTCATCCAGGCCACCGGAAGTCTGCCATGCACTGGGGGCCAGGGATATGGGCATGGAATGGTCCAGCCCTGGCTCCAAGAATGTGAATAAGGGGGCTGGAGTGATAGCACAGCAGGTAGGGCATTTGCCTTGCACACGGCCAACCCGGGTTTGATTCCCAGCATCCCATATGGTGCCCTGAGCACCGCCAGGAGTAATTCCTGAGCGCATGAGCCAGGAGTAACCCCTGTGCATTGCCAGGGTGTGACCCAAAAAGCAAAAAAAAAAAATGTGAATGAGCATAGACTGGCAGGTAGAAAACGATGGGCAGAATGCAGTGGGAGGAGAGTGGTGACACCATGTGGCAGGCACCCGAGGTGACCTGGGAACTGTTACAGAAGGCCCTTGCAGAGAGTGGAAGAGAGGGAGGGTATGAGGAACTCCCACCACAGCTAATGCTTTCCCAACAAGCGGTTCTCCAACGAGCGGTTCTTCCACACAATATCCACTGACCAAGGCTCCCTGAACTGCCTGACCTATGCCTGCTTCTCACTGGATGCAGAGGATGTTGCAGGCTTTCCGAACACATCCTCTCAGTGCCAGCAACAGTCCTGATGGCGTCGAGGGATTTGCTAACAGCACCTCACCTGAGCTGGCTAGAGTCACACACCGTGCTAAGAAAGGACATGAGTCCAGGTGGGAGGCTAAAGGCCTGCTCTGAACATCAGACCACACAGATGGGTGGGAGGGAATCCGTCTCCCCGCCAGCTTACGAAGTGGGCCTAGATCTGCTCCAACCCACTCCCCCACCTTCTTCCCAACCCACCCACCAGCTCACCAGGGGTGAAGTGGCGCCACCTGAAGGGAGACAATCTCTCTGCAGCCTGCGCCAAGAGCCCAGATGACCTCGTGGCCTACAGGGTCCGTGGCACTCCTGTCGAAGAGACAAACCTGGCAGGGCCCACTCAAGTCCTCTGCCCTCTTGCCTCACACCACAGAGCTCGTGGGTACCGTTGTCTGAGAGCACCCCCGGCAACAGCACCCCTTAAGGTCTGGAGGGGGGACGTCCCGGCGCACTCACCTGTAGGTGACGGCCTGCAGGGCGCGGCAGTAGCAACTGGCCAGCCAGAGCGATCGGTCAGTGAGGATGTTGGGGCAATGGGAGATGCGCAGGATCAGCAGGTTCCCCCCTGCCGCCTTCAGCAGGGACTCCAGCCCTGCTTCCAGGCAGCCCCTGGGGATGGCCACGAGGTCAGTGCACTGCCCGTGACCGCCTATTCCTCCTCCAGGAAGCAGCCCCTCTCCCCCGCCCCCAGCCTCACCGGGTGCTCCGGGCATACTCCTCCTTGCTCTCCTTCTTGCCCCGCTGCCGGGGCTTCAGGTTCTGCAGAGTCAGAGAGTGCGCCTGGGTGCACCATTGAGACAGCATGGCTAGGAACTGCGGGGAGAAGGTGGTCCTGAATATGGGGACGCGCTAGAGGAAGATCAGCCCCGGGAGAGCATGTTGGAGCCGCACGGAGCTGGGGTGCTGTGTGTGGTGGTGGTGGTGCAGGGGAGAGGGGTGGGAGGAACCACACAGGGCTGGGGGGTGGGCAGGGGCCGGCACCTTGGAGCAGACACGCGCATTCTCGAGCAGCACGCGGGTCCAGACGGCAGGGTGTCGGGCCACGAAACGCCAGTCGCGGCAAACCTCGGCAGCGTGCAGCAGGGTGCGGGTGTCCAGGTAGGTGAAGATGCAGAAGAGCGCGGCGCGCATCTTGAGGATCTCCGGGCTGATGACCTCGTTGGAGCGGGAGGGGCTGCCCCTCTCGGCACGCGCACCCCGACCACTGCCGCCCTCCGGCCGTGCTGCAGGACACCAGAGGGGCCAAGGTCAGTGGGGGCCGCCAGTGGCGGGGGGGGACGCGGTGTCAGTGGAGCACTGGGGAAGGGCAAGGAGAGACCCGTGCTGGGGGATCCAGCGACCCGGGAGAAAGAAGGGTGGCCTCGGGCTGCCCCTCGCCTAGATCACACACCCCCAAGTCTGCAAAGGAGAAAAGGTGACTTGCTGCGTGACATCCTCCATGACCAGAGTTAACCTCACCCACTGGAGGGGGCCTCGGGGTGCGTGTAGGGAAGGAAAGGGCTTCGAGGCTGGGTGCGGCTGGACGGGAAGCTGGAAACAGCCTTATGAAGAGAAGCAGAGTGGCGGTGGGGTACGGCCATCAGCTTGAGCCCCAGAGGTGCAGGGCCTTTGGGGGTGGGGGAAGAACTCTTAGGAGTCACTCTCGGTTACCCTCTTGTCTCTCACTGAGCCTGCCCAGACCGGAAGGGCTGGGGCAAGCGAAGGGAGGTCCTGAGGCAAGGGTGACGGGTGCCTCGGTCTGTGCACCCCATGGGAGAGAACATTCACCCTGCCCACCATCCACCCCCACCACTCCCTAACTCCAGGGACTCACCTGACAGGCGGCAGCTGCTCAACGGCCCCGACACAGCAGGCCCCGGGCGGGGGATCTCGGAGGGGCCCTCGGCCTCTGACTCAGTGGTTCGGGAACCCACGTCCGAGACATCCCCCTCCTCGCCTTCTGTGCTGTGCCGGCGGGGTCTGCGCTGCCAGTTCTGAATGGCCTGGCGCCGCAGGCCGGAGCTTCGCGGGGGCTGTGCCCGCTCAGAGCTGCCGTTCGCAGCCTGTGCCCGGGTGCCCAATCCCCCGGGGCCGCCGTCTTCAGGAGCCGCTTCTTCCTGCCGGGGCAGCTCCAGGCTGTCGCTGTCGTAGCAGCCAGAGCTCTGGGAGGCAGCTGGGATGCGGCTGGAGGCCCTGAGGTGGAATAGAACCATTGGCGGGAGGCAAGAGACACCTGGTCAACCCGGGCCCCCCCACCCCGGGCCACCCCCAACCGCCAGGCAAGGACACCCACTTGCCCCCTGCTTTCCCAAAATGCCCTCTGAGTGGAAAGGTGGACAGAGGAGACCCCAGGAGTGCTGGGGCCGGGAAGTGGGACAGGAGGTGCTTGATGGCGTGGGGCGGCTTACCCTGTGCCAGGAGAGGAGCCGTGCCGGGCCAGCGCGTACGGCACAGCGGCGCCCGCATGGTGCTCTCGCTGTGGGCACCCAGAGCAGGAAGGGAAGGAGGGGGGGCAGAGGAAGCAAGAGGAGGGGAAGCAGCAGGAGAAACAGGGCACACAACGGAGACAAGAGGGAGAGGAGAGAGAATAAGGGCAAAGGTTGGGAGAGATGGACAGACAGACAGAGAGGCCAGTTCCCCAGCCCCTCCCCTCCTCCACCTCGCACCCCAGACTCCGACTGGAGACTCCTGGGGTTTCATTTGCAGAGTCAGATCCCACTACGGCATTACTGCCTGGGGGTGTGTGTGTGGGTGGGGGGAGGCTGGCCCATGCCCCCCTCAGAGGAACGTCCTTCTTCTGGACCCCCGATCCTTCAGGGGACAAGAACTAGCAAAGGGAAGCATGGGGTTTGTGGGGGGGATGTGAAGGGGGCATCGTGTGAGGAGGGAAGTGGGCACTCACCATTCTGCCCGGGCCCCGGGCACCAGGCCCAGCGCCACTGCCCCCACCTCCACGGCCCAGGCTGGCACTGGGCGTGCTGCCACAGCTGCTGCTAATGACCTGTAGCTGCCGCTCAGCCCGGTCCGCCCGTTCTAGGAGCTCCTCGATGAACTGCTGGAGCCGCAGCTTGGCGCTGGCCTCCCGAGCCGCCGTCTCCTTCAGGAACTGGTCGATCTGCACCACCTCCCTGGGCCCGGAGCAGTCTCTTACCCCAGCGTCGGGGCCTGGTTGCCCACCCGCTCTCCGGGGGGGAGGACCCGGCCGGTGCGGAGAGACCCGAAGCACAGTTGCCCGAGGCTGTCTGCTCACGGCCACATGGGTGCGTGCAGAACAAGCACATATAGCAAACAGTGGCACACACGGAGAGGCAGGAAGACACTCTGGGACACATGCTCACACCTCACCCACACAGGCGCCAACACGCACCTAGACAGCTCTTTCCAAGCAAACGCCCAGAGAGCCTGTAAGCCACAGCTCATCCCTCCAGAAATACGGCACAGTCGCACGCTCACCTGGCCCCTGCACATATCTGAACACTCAGCGTTCAGGCCCGGGGGTCGACCATCCCCCAACACACTCACACACACACGTGCGCACGCACCCACACACACCCACACACACACACACACACACACACACACAGTCTGCAGAAACACTCTTGTGCAGAAGCATCCACACGAGGCTGGAGCAATAGAACAGTGGGTAGGGCGTTTGCCTTGCACGCAGCCAACCCGAGTTTGATTCTCAGCATCCCACATGGTTCCCCGAGCACCGCCAGGAGTAATTCCTGAGTGCATGAGCCAGAAGTAACCCCTGTGCATCACCAGGTGTGACCCAAAAATCAAAAAAAAAAAGCATCCATGCAGGGGCACCCACCTCTAGGAGCTTCATGTATACACAGCACACTTATGATCCCCTATCTACACCTAAATGAATTCAGAGTTGTTCATGCAGCCTTTCCACATTTACAAAGCACCCCATAGGGTACAGCAAAGGCCAAAGCAGAAAAGAGTCCCGGCCCACATGGAGATTATATCAGAGGGAGGTGAAGTGATTCTAAATTTGAAATGCTGCACCTGTAGTCTAGAGACCAGAGAAAGCACCTGGGAAGGAGCAGACAAAAATAATAAAAGTAAAAAAGAAAATCTTACGAGAAGATCCTGAAACCCATTGAGAAAATATTTCAAGGATGGGCTTGTCATATGCTGGCAAGGGACCAAAGTATGATGACAACTTTGACCTGGAACATATGGGTTGGGGGTGACATGGAGTGCAATGGCAACCGGGGAGTTGGAAGGGGGCACATGAGCAGAGTATGTTCAAGAGGGAAAGTGTAACCCAGCTGTGCTCAGGGATGACTCCTGACTGCGCTCAGGGATGACCCCTGGAGATGCCTGGCGGATAACACAACTGTGTGCAACACCAGTGCCCAACCTGATCCCACCATGGCACTACTACCCACTGTACTATCTTTCCAGCCCTGCATCAAGGAGCTTTCTTATAAGAAGAAAAGGGCAGAAGCTTGAGACAGGGTTTTGACAGATGGGAGAAATGACATTTGTGTTTTAGTTCTATGGTTGGGGCAAGTCTGATGGCAGCAGAGGAGTGAATTAAGCTTCGCTGCTCAAGGGAAGAGGATCGGGTGCCGGAAGGTGCTGGCCTGGGCTAGAAGATGGAGAAGCAAAGTAAGTCTCCACAGGCAGGTACAGTGCACCTCCGCACAGCCCGCACACCCTCAAGGCACTCCTGGCCCATGTGCATGCTGAAGACCAAAGACCAGCCACGGCAAGGCAGACAGCATCACACAGACACATTCACGGCACGCGCCTCCCTCATCCCCCCAGGCCCCTGCGGGCCACTCACTGCTGCTTGCGGCTCAGCTCCTGCTCCTTGTGCACCAGGTCCTGCTTGAGCGAGGCCAGGAGCTCCACACTCACGTCCACCTGGCGGGACAGCTCCGAGGCGCGCTCCTCCAGCTCCTCCTTCTCGCGCCCCAGCCGCGCGCTCTCCTGCCGCGCCGTCTCCAGCTCGGCCGCCTTGCGCTCCAGCTCGGCCTGCAGCCGGCCCACCTGGCCCGCGATCTTCTGCTCCACCTCCTCGCTCAGCCGCTCCAGCCGCCGGTCCACCTCCAGCTTCTCCAGCGCGCGGATCTTGAGCCGCGCCAGGCCCTCCTCGTAAGCCACGTCGGCCGGCGAGGGGGACGCGGGGGAGGCGGACGCGGGCCCGGAGCAGGGCCCCGGGCCCGAGCCCGGGGGCGGCGTGGAACACGCCGACGAGGCCACGGACTTGCGGGCGAACAGCTCCCCGAGCGGGATCTCGATCTCGCGCAGCGCGTAGCGCGCGGCGGCGGGCACGAGGCCCGGCTCGGCCAGCTCCTCGCAGGGCAGGCTGGCGGGCACCAGGTCGCTGGGGAAGTGGGCGAGGGGCGCGTGGTGGTGGTGGTGGTGCAGCAGGTGGGGCGCCGCGGGCGCCGCGCCCACCGCCTGCTCCTTGCCCTGGAACGACGTGCTCTCGAAGACCTCGCGCCGCGCGCCGGGCACGGCCAGCAGGGCAGCGGGCTCGGGCGCCAGCTGGAAGCCCGAGGCGGCGGCCGCCGCGCCGTCGCAGATGCTGTTGGTCTTGGACAGGATGTAGAGCGTCTCGTACGTGTGGCTGTACTCCAGGTGGGCGCGCAGCGACGACAGGCTCCGGAAGCGCTTGTGCTCCCCGCAGCGCGGGCAGCGGTAAGGCAGGTCCAGCGAGGCCATGGCCCCGCCGCCGCCGCCCCCGCCCCCGCCGCCGCCGCGCCCGGGCTCCACCGCGGCCGCCGCGCCCCGGTCCGTCAGCCCGGAGCGCTCATCGGGCGCCCCGCAGGTGAGCCCCCTGCGGAGTCAGGAAGGCTCGGGGCTTGGGGCGGCCCGGGGTGTGGAGGGAGCTAGGAAAGAGGGAGGCAGGACTCAGGAGGAGGCAGCGGAGGGGTGGGAAGCCCTTGCTCATCCGCCCCATCCCATGGGGCGGAAACGGACCCCCTCCAGGTAACCAGAACCGAGAGTCCGAGAGGGAGCGGGTACCCAGGGCCTGACTTCCCGTGCCAACGCTCCGACTTGACAAGAGAAATTAGATTTCTTCTGGGCCGGACAGAGGGATATGGTACAGCGGGTAAGGTGCTTGCTTCCCGACCCTGAGTTCGATCCCCAACACCTCATCTTGTCTCCCGAGCCCCATTCATCCCGAAGCAGCGCTTGGTGTGGCCCAGAATAAAAAACAAACGAAAAACGCCCTCAAGGTCTGGGAGGGAGATAGGCCTGGAGTACATGCTTTCCATGCAGCAAGCAGCTCTCCGCTATCTCCAAGGACCACGATTATTTGCCTTCCTCACATCTCTTCCAGAACAAACCTCCTTTCTTCCTGTTTTCACCTTCCTCTCCCACTATCAAGCCTCCCTCTCTCGACAGTTCATTCCCAGGTGCATGATGGGCACCCCAGAAACATCCTCTGGCTTCTGCTCTTCCCTCCCCTACCTAGTAGAATGCTTTTCCATTCATTGCTATTGTCTTCATTGCCTACAACGGAGCTTCATCCACCCTCTGCTGACACGATGTTCCCAAGTCTCAGGCACCTTTGTTCTCAGTATTCTTTGCCCATTTGGTGTTTGGTTAATGCTCCTTCCCAGTGTCTTCTGTTTTCACCGCCCTCAGCCCTTTCTTCCAGTCTTTCCCCATGCAGTTAGATTGTCTCCCACCCTGAAGCTGCTGACTTTCAGCTCTACCTCTCCATCCAGACCTACTCTAGCTATGTGATTATATCAGGTATCTCCATGCATGAGCAGAATCTGTTACCTTCCTTTGCCAGCCCACAACCCAGTCCTCCTGGTAAGAACTGCTTTGACCCTAGAGACACATCTTTCCCACTTTCTCCAGTTTGTGTCATCGATGGACCATTCCTGGGTGCATGATGGGCATCCCAGAAACAATTCCATGAGCCTTCACTCATAGAGTCAATAAGTTGTTTCTCCAGGACGTTCTAGGAACTGCTGGGGGAAGTCATCCTCTTTGTATTCAGACTCTTGTCCTGATGGGAAGGGAGGACCAGAACTTCAACTGTCTCTGTCTATTGGGAGAGACAACTCGGCATCCAACAAGGGGATGCAGCACCAATAGGAAGAGATTCCTCACAGATACTGTTTGATATCCCGGTCTGCTCAATTATATGAGAAAAAATCAATTCTCTTTTTGTTCACTTAAGCCAGTTGGAATTGGGTATAACACCCAACCAGGAAAAGTCCTAACCAGACATTTCAATCAGAAGTAGAATTTTTTTTTTCAAGCAGCAGACCTATGAAGACATTAGCTAAACTAAATGAGAAATAAAATAGTTCGGCCACTCACAGTGGGTGAGCCCTGCTACACAGCAGTAAAGTGGCTGATTAAACTGTCTCACCTACCACCTCTGGAATTCAGACGGTATTCTTCCCTGGGCAGGGGATTTAGGGACTCTAAGAGAAATGATGATGTTCCAGGGGTTTGGGGGGGTAACCTTCCCCATGGCTGTAGTATGATCCACACTGGCTGAAAGGGGCTCATCTGAAAGCAGAGAGGCAGAAAATGCCATTTTTGTCCAAATAAGCCCTTTCTGCCGGAGGGCAGCAAACCAATAAGACTGAGAGCTAATTAAGAGCCAGTTCTCTGCTTCTAGCTAAAGTCAGCTCAAGCGAGACAGAGTGGCTGGAAACGCGAGACAACTCTGGGCTCTGACAGGTTTTTGACTCTCCAGGCCCGCCAGAATTCCTCCTCTTGTAACCACTTCCCAGCTCAACAGAGCCAGCTGCTGCATTATAAGCAGCCTTCTCAGGTGCAGTTTGAGTGGTGGAGGGTGCAAATGCTCTGTTACTCACTCCAGCTGGGAGTTTGCATGGCCCTGTGGGCAGTGGCCCAGCCAGAGGCCACAAAACAAGGATCTCCCCGAAGGTAACTCGGAGCACCCGGACCTGTTGCTAAGGCACAACTCCTTTTTCTCCCCCAACGCTATCCCCAAGGACTTGATTCAAGAATTTTCACTTTCAGGCTAGGGAGAGAGCTCAAAGGGCTAGAGCACATGCTTCCTATGTGGGTACCCAATTCAAGCCCCAGCACTGCAAGTATTGAGCCAGGAGTAGCCTATGAGCACTGCCAGGTGAGGCTCCAAACACCCCATCCCCTAAATAATTATAACTTATAATAATTATTCTTTTCTTTTTTTTTTGGCCACACCCAACTATGCTCAGGGCTTACTCCTGGCTCTGTACTAAGGGGCACTCCTAGCAGGCTTGGGGACTATATGGCTTGGGTGCCGGGGATTAAACCCAGATTGGCCACCTGCAAAGTAAATGCCTATCCACTATACTATTGCTCCAGCCCCAAGAATTAGAATTTTCAGTGTGATATCTACTTTGGTGAATAACTAGACTGAACACAGTTATAGATTTCAAGCCTTTTAACGATGAAGAGAACTGTATTGACAGAAAAGATGACAAGCCTAGAAAACTCAGTCTCAATACCTGCACCAAAGGAAGGTGACCTCGTCCTTTTGCATGTGACCACAGAGCTTGAATAGAGGGCTGTTCTCTGACTTTATGAACTAGAAAACCTCACCCTTGCTAACTGGTTGAGCAAGTGGATTATGCTATGGACCTCTGACTTCTAATGATCACTGAGATGAGGAGAGCGATTTTCTTGATTACTCCTCTTCAACTGTAAGGTACTATTTGTTGGTTTTAGTTTGGGGACCATTTCCAATGGTGCTCAGGGATCATTCTTGGCAGTGCTCAAGAGACCCTATGAGCTGCTGGGGATCAAAACACATCAGCTGCATGCAAGGCAAGTGCCCTAGCCCCTGTACTATCTCCTGGCCCCCAGCAACTGAAAGTTTTTTGTTCTTTCAGCTCTTCTTTTAATACAACCATCATTGTAGTCTAGCCATAAATCAAAACACCGTAAGACTAGTCCAGTTATCAAACAGCCCATCACCAACATCGTGAGTTTGGACTAGATGTGGTAAGAACTTGGAACATCTCCTTCCAGAGATGGGACAAGTGTGTTGTAAGTTTTGGGGGGTGTTTTCAGGGGGTGTTATGAGGCATTGTGAGAAACAGGATTATGAGGCACTGTGAGAAACAGATAACAGTCTCAACGATCTGAGAAAGGGCATTTGTGTAGATCGTGGACAGGCAACAGTGGGTTGTTGTGAAGTGAACAATAATATTATTTTTTGCTGCCTGATTCCAGTTCCCCTTTGTGGGTAGATTACTTTTTTCCCCTTAGAGACACATTTCCTCCACTTTGAATCCAGGTTGTCTTGGGAGGCCTGACCACCCTCTTGCTTCAGGGGAGTACATCTGACATCACTCTCCTCACTCATCTCAGCGATCACTCAGGAGAGGACATTTCCCAGGTTGGACCGGTGCAGGTGCTCCAGGACCCGTGATCAGCTGATGGATTGTGAGCCTGGAGCTTCTCACAGCCATTTCTTGCTGATCTCTCTTTGGGCACCAACAAGGAAAAGAGAACTGATGACCTCCCTTGAGCATCATGAATAGTGTGCGCTTAAGATTTTATTTAGCCCAGTTTTGGCATGCCAGTTGCATGAGGCACCGAATTCATTTTGCAGCTTAAACAGTGGTTTTCAGCTAGTTAGGAGATGTAAGAAAGTCATGAACACGGGCTTATATCATTTGAATCCCTTTCCAATCACTATGAAAGACTCTTGCACAGTGGTCCAGGGTCAACAAACAAATGTGAGATTTCTCTCACCCACTGCTCAGGCATCCGGAGTTCCTTCAGTGGTGCTGGCCACCTTGATTCTGCTTTCTCTGCCAACTGTCAAGGCCTGCTGATTATGCTTTGGAATGCTTTCCAACCCAACTGTTCTCGCATGCTCTGTGTGCCTCTTAGCCATTGCTTTCTCAGACCTGATCTGCTGGCCCAGCCCTCAATCCTTCTGCTCTCATCCAACCTATAAAAGGCACCAAATTCCTCAATGTACACATGATACCTGCACCTTCAATGGAGACCCACTCTCTGTCTACTGCAGCCAAACTCCTCAGCTTCCTGGGTCGCATGAAAGACCAGCGTAGCTGGCGTTTTCACTTGTCTTTCTTTTATTACTGTGGTGGGACATTTTCTCCCCACTCATTTGTCTTTCTTTTTGCTGACTTGTGTTATGATGACTCAGTTTTATGTCTATGCCACTTTGCTCATTCTTACACTAAACACTCATCTTTCCATACTGCCTTGCAAAGACTTTTTAAAAAATATAATATTGGTTCTTTGTCTCGTATAGATTTGTAATTGCAAATATTTTCCCCAAGTGTGTGGACCGGTTTTTACTTTTGTTTATGGTCTTTATCCGTATCCTAAAATTTAAAGTTAGCTTCAGTAAAATATTTTTATTTTTCACTTGGTTATCATACTTAGGAAATCTATCCCTATCCAAAGATTATATGTAAGCAGATACTTATGGTGTTTCTTTTAGTGTTTTGTGTTTGTCTCTTTTTCTGAATGCAGAACAATTTTATTAGAGTTTTATTTATTTGTATGTTTTGACAATGGTGTTAAACCCAGGGTCACACATATACAAGGCAAATAATTACTCTACCTCTGAGTTGCATCCTTGGTCAAACTAAGGGTTTTAAACAAATGACCTTAATACTATAAACTGGAAATAGTTGGGTAGCATGCAAATCCTTCAGGCTGTGTGATTTCCTGTAACACACTGGATTGTTTTACTCCACTTAGAAATTTCTGGTATGCATGCTGAGACAAAGATTAAGAGATATACACCTTTTCATTATGAACATTTCTAAAAATATTTTAAAAATAGAATATGATAATGAACTACTAATTCATCATCTAGTTTCAACAGTTATCAATTCATGGTAAATTCTGTTAAATCATTCAT